TATACATCATGTAATAATTAATGTTTAAAAAATGCACTTTACGGCTGTCTGAACCCCACTAATTAGCCCTTAACTTAGAATCCTATACACATAGAGTCTATACACATCTAGCCTATACATACACTACATGTAGCATCTACACAATGTATGTATTATGTACATATATTTTATATATGTACCTATATATGTATATGTATATATGTATATATGTATATATGTATATATGTATATGTACATATATGTACATATTATTATGTCTATATGCATTACATGTAGCACTTACACTATGCGCACTACATATAGCATCTAAACTGTATACTTTACATTTTGCGTTTGTACATATATGTAATATGTAGAATTTAGCCTCTACATATTGAATGCAGTCTTAAACTTATATGCATTTCTTGCATTTCTCTTCGGTCTAGCTTGTCCTAAACTGTTTTCTGTCTGTAGCCTAGTTTGTCTGCACCGTAGTCTGCCTCCATCCGTGATAGTCTGCCTCCATCCGTGATAGTCTGCCTCCATCCGTGATAGTCTGCCTCCATCCGTGATAGTCTGCCTCCATCCGTGATAGTCTGCCATTCTATAACTAGCTTACCTGACTTACCTGTAACCCCCCCCCCCCTCCACCCCCATCCAAACCCTCCTCTCCCCATTCATTATCAGCTATATAAAGTGCAGCATCAAATCTGAACTTTGTACTCAAACTTAACGAGCAAGTTATTCGTGTACTGCCAAAAAGCATTATAAGCTAGTAAATATATAACAGGAAGTCTTGAAGCTGTCTACGCGCAACGTTGGGTAGAAATGGGGGGGGGGGGGGGGGGGGCGGTTGTTTGGTGAAAAAAGTAAGATTTAGGGTAGAAATGGGGGGAGGGGTTGTAGAAAAAATGTAAGATTTTGGGTATAAATGGGGGGGGGGGGGGAGGGTTGTAGGAAAAAGTGAGTTTATAGGGTGATTTTTTTTATTTTTGGTTCTACTAAGTTATTTTAGGGTTGTTAATTTAAGGGGTTGTCAAGTTAATTAGGGTTGTAGGGTAGAAATGTGAGGGTGTTAGGTGTTTACATGTCATACATTTAACCTGTGTACACCCATGTCATAATGTTAACCTATGTTTGACGCTCTACACATGTGTCTTTGAATGAACTGTGTTTGAAGAGCGAGTACTGAGCTATTGACACTAAAACCTAGCTGAGTACATCCAGTAGATGATAACGTGTCTGCTATTCTTAATATCAAAAAAAGTATTTTTAGCCTCTTTAAAAAATCTTTCTTTTCGAGATCTTGCGAGAAAGCATTTCTTTTCACGACAAAAGCCATTAACCGGGATGTTAAACATACACGCCTTAACCCTAACTCGTACTGACTCCATTTTCTTTTGTACCCGCAAATCTTAATAACTAAGCGAACATAATGTAAACCTTCGTTTAAAGAGGTAAACATATGCAGGAGGGAGGGGGGGGGGGAAGGATGCTTACGCACATCACGTGAGTTGGTGAATATGTTTGTTGGCTAATTCCAGTGTTCATATCAAATATGGTTTCCATGAGGCTAGGTGGTGGTGATTGAATATACCGTGTGGTTGTCGTCACTGTGTTGTTGTGGTCACTTAATATACCGTGTGGTTTAAGTCACTTAATATACCGTGTGGTTAAGGTCACTTATTATACCGTGTGGTTTAGGTCACTTAATATACTGTGTGGTTGAGGTCACTTAATATACCGTGTGGTTGAGGTCACTTAATATACCGTGTGGTTGAGGTCACTTAATATACCGTGTGGTTTAGGTCACTTAATATACCGTGTGGTTAAGGTCACTTAATATACTGTGTGGTTGAGGTCACTTAATATACCGTGTGGTTGAGGTCACTTAATATACCGTGTGGTTAAGGTCACTTAATATACCGTGTGGTTGAGGTCACTTAATATACCGTGTGGTTGAGGTCACTTAATATACCGTGTGGTTGAGGTCTGGTATATCTATGTGCCGTCATGTGCGATGAATTAGTAATAATGAAAATGTTGTAACAATGTGTACGGTGTACCCCTAATTGGCGTGTGATAGCTGTCAATTGAAACCTGTGTATCAGATCATACTATAACCTACGGCAAGCATTTGCTGTACCACTTACATAGTTGATGCTGGGGTGGGGGGGGGGTCTCTTCTAATGAGTGAATTAGTCAACTTAGTCAGATTAGGTTTTATTGATGTCATGTCATGTGGTCGTGATCTCTTGATAACTCCGGTGGTGGGGGGGGGGGGGATATATTAGAAGGGTAATCTCGTGGTTATGGCAATAATTATCAACAGTTGATTTAATTTATAACTAGACCACTGGACAATGGGAGAGCTGGATTAACACCCGTCCATTGTTAGATGACGGAGGGGTTCACTAGCCAGTGATAAAATGTCTTATCGTAATTTGCAAATGGGTTGTACAGTTTGTTCGATACTGTCACACGATACGATTATCCTGCACAACTCACGATACCAGTATCCATTCAATAACCTACCGCGGTAGCAAGCAGTGCATCGATTCTATTATTAAGCGCGATACACGGCTGCTGGTAGTAACGATACCAGCGTTACCTCGCCGGTTGTGATTTCTATTTTCTGCCAACATTTCGCCTCGAGGGTTTTTAACGAGGTCGTCATTTTCTTGTTGACATTTTCCCTCCACACAGGGAAGTTGTGGGGGTCGCGGTCTGTTGCGGCGGTGTGGGTCTATGTGGGGAGGGGAGCTAGGGGAGGGGCGGTGTGGTGCTGTGTCAGCCAAGATTAAAATCAAATTTCTGATCTTAGACGGGATGAATACATAGATCCATCACCGTAACATCAGACCAGTTTCATGAACCACCGTGAGACCACCGTGAGACCACCGTGAGACCACCGTGACACCACCGTGACAATACCGTGACACCACCGTGACACCACCGTGACAACAGACCAGTGTAATATACCACCGTGACAACACAATGACACCAACGTGACACCACCGTGACACCAGACCAGTGTAACATACCAACGTGACAACACAATGACACCAACGTGACTCCACCGTGACACCAGACCAGTGTAACATACCACCGTGACACCACCGTGACACCACCGTGACAACAGACCAGTGTAATATACCACCGTGACAACACAATGACACCACCGTGACACCACCGTGACACCAGACCAGTGTAACATACCACCGTGACACCACCGTGACACCACCGTGACAACAGACCAGTGTAATATACCACCGTGACAACACAATGACACCACCGTGACAACACAATGACACCAACGTGACACCACCGTGACACCAGACCAGTGTAACATACCACCGTGACAACACAATGACACCAACGTGACTCCACCGTGACACCACTGTGACACCACTGTGACACCAGACCAGTGTGATACACCACCGTGACAACACCGTGACACCAACGTGACACCACCGTGACACCAGCGTGACACCACCGTGACACCACTGTGACACCACCGTGACACCACTGTGACACCAGACCAGTGTGATACACCACCGTGACAACACCGTGACACCAGCGTGACACCACCGTGACACCACTGTGACACCACCGTGACACCACTGTGACACCACCGTGACACCAGACCAGTGTGATACACCACCGTGACAACACCGTGACACCAGACCAGTGTGATACACCACCGTGACAACACCGTGACACCAGACCAGTGTGATACACCACCGTGACAACACCGTGACACCAGACCAGTGTGATACACCACCGTGACAACACCATGACACCACCGTGACACCAGACCAGTGTGATACACCACCGTGACAACACCATGACACCACCGTGACACCACCATGACACCACCGTGACACCACCGTGACACCACCGTGACAACACCATGACACCACCGTGACACCAGACCAGTGTGATACACCACCGTGACAACACCATGACACCACCGTGACACCAGACCAGTGTGATACACCACCGTGACACCACCGTGACACCAGACCAGTGTGATACACCACCGTGACAACACCATGACACCACCGTGACACCAGACCAGTGTGATACACCACCGTGACACCACCGTGACACCACCGTGACACCACCGTGACACCACAATGACAACACCATGATACTACAATGACACAAGACCACTTTAATACAGTGACACCAAGCATCTAAAACAACATACAACATGTCAGTTGTACCTCTACTCTAGTCTAACTAGATGGGACTTAAAGAATCTACCTGGAGTGGTTTAGTAGGCTACAGTGTATGGTATTTGTCATGCTGAAAGTTTCAGAATTACTGTCGACAAAATCTAAGTAGACACCAAACCTATAAGGACAACTTTTTGTGTACTGATAAACGCATTACTTTGTACTCACTCTTAATCTCCTCATTTATAATTCACCCACTCATTATCCACCCACCATGAACCGCCCACTCAAATTCCCCCACTCTCCAACATCCATTTGTACAAACTGGCGTTGATTAGCTGCCTGGTCATACTGGCTAATTATGTCACCTGCTTGGGATAGACATGGAAGGGGAGGGGTATGCAGTGTGGGTGTGGGGGCAGTGTGTGTGTGTGGGGGGGGGGGAGGTTATGCAGTGTGGGTGTGGGGGGTATGCAGTGTGTGTGGGGGGCAGTGTGGGTGTGGGGGTGGGGTTATGCAGTGTGGGTGTGGGGGTATGCAGTGTGTTTGTGGGGGCAGTGTGTGTGGGGGTGCAGTGTGTGTGTGTGGAGAGGGGGTCGCACGGTGGGTGTCCTGTTGCCCCGTGGTGGACCTGTTTTTGCCTGATATTTTTAGCCCTGGTGGCTTCGGTTCACGCATGAGTAGTTTTGTTAGCCCGTATTGTCCAGATGACGCGTCAGTCATGTGATAGGGTCAACTTTATTAGCCTGTTTATTAATGAGGTCAGGTCAAAACATAAATAACCAATTAGCCATTCTTCACCTTATTTCATTTACTTTGTTGAAAACCTTAAAGGTTCTCTGTGTTAGGTTGTTAACAGATACAATAAACCTGCTCGGTGGCCATGTTTCTTTTGTTTAACCGGAAGTGACCCCGCCCACTGAATGGAACCATTTCTTAACAAACCGGATTTTCTATCTCTGTGGACAAGTTTGACAGATGTGCCACGTTTTACGGCAAGACAACAACCTGACAGTAGTAAGCATTTGTTGTCACGCCACGTGACACAGCGGTGACTAGTTCAAGGCCGAGGCATGGCCTTCACCTCCAGCACCACCAGCAGCAGCAGCAAGAGGTCGCCCTACAACATCGACCTGCTCAACCACCTGACCAACAACCTGATGAAGAAGTACGGCTCGGAGTTTGAGCTGGTCAGCAAGTTGACCAACATCAAGCACAGAAGACCGGAAGTCGTCACCAGCAGGTCAGTCTCCAGCCTGCCCCTGGTCAAGGTCACTGGGCCGGATATGACGTGTGATGAGAACCTCCAGGAATATTTCCCCACACAGACCCAGTCCAACCCCTGCTCGCCACGTGTGGCTAGAAGGGCCTTCACCACATGTCTGGACGGCACTCAGTACATCATAGGTAAGTCTTACTTCTGGCACTCAGTACATCATAGGTAAGTCTTACTTTTGGTACTCAGTACATCATAGGTAAGTCTTACTTTTGGTACTCTGTACATCTTAGGTAAGTCTTACTTCGTGTACTCAGTACATTATAGGTAAGTCTTACTTTTGGTACTCAGTACATCATAGGTAAGTCTTACTTTTGTTACTCAGTACATCATAGGTAAGTCTTACTTTTGGTACTCAGTACATCATAGGTAAGTCTTACTTTTGGTACTCAGTACATCATAGGTAAGTCTTACTTCTGGCACTCAGTACATCATAGGTAAGTCTTACTTTTGGTACTCAGTACATCATAGGTAAGTCTTACTTTTGGTACTCTGTACATCTTAGGTAAGTCTTACTTCGTGTACTCAGTACATTATAGGTAAGTCTTACTTTTGGTACTCAGTACATCATAGGTAAGTCTTACTTTTGTTACTCAGTACATCATAGGTAAGTCTTACTTTTGGTACTCAGTACATCATAGGTAAGTCTTACTTTTGGTACTCAGTACATCATAGGTAAGTCTTACTTTTGGTACTCAGTACATCATAGGTAAGTCCACTGTCACAGATTAGATCTGTAATGCCTTTTGTCCACAAGCTAAAGCGTCATGTATTGCTTGTAATGTGTGGCTGCAGCTTTGTTGTGTCAAGGGAAGCAACAGAGGAAAAATTATCGTAAAGATGTTTTCACGGGATACTCTCCCCTGTATTAGAATAGGGGAAATATCAATACAGTTGAATATAGTCTACATCAAAGTGAAATACTTCATTTTGCTGGTCAATTTTCTATATTTTATGAATTTTGTCAGTAATTTAAAAATTGTTGAAGAATAATTATTGACACAGTATTTTCGATGTTTTTAAGCACAGTGTACCACAATTTGTAGATCACGTTATATTATAACTGATTGCACTTTGAAAAATAGCAGCTGATCCCCACAAACGACACGAGTGTTCCATGAAAACCATTACAATTCATTTTGTTTTTTACGTTTGACAACCACTCAACAATACAACCACCTGTACTACAACCACACCAAACCACAGCCACATGTAAAGTAACCACACACAAGTACCATTGTGCCAGGGTCACACAAGACTGCAGAGTTTCTTCCAGCCCCCCCCCCCCCCCCCCCCGAAAATTTTTCACCTCCCCCCGAACGAAATGAAATTTATATAATTTGTATAGAAAATATATACTTTTAACAGTGTCCGCCCCCCGAAGAAAGTCTACCGCCCCCCGAAAATTTCAAGTGCCCCCCCCCCCCCCCCGGAGAAAAAAGTCTGGAAGAAACACTGCACAAGAGACTGATATATGTCGTGTCGGAGATAGACGTGTATTTACATGCAACGGTCGAGTGACGTCACACACGCATTCCTCCATGTTACAATGCAATCGAGTACATAACGACGCGCTCTTTCTAAGGCTTCAGCTATCTGCTTTATAGGCCACCACTCAACGCTTTATTTCTTCACCTCAACACAATTTTCTAACGGCTACCCTTTTATTCCCCCCCCCTCCACCACCCCCATATACACATTATTCGAATAACTACTCTTTTATTCCCCCCCCCCCACCCACCTCCATAAACAAATTGTTCTGTAGTCTACTCCTTCCATTCCTCTTCTCTATCTCCCCTACTTTTGTTGTAGATATTTTGCTAACTTAATTTTAGCAGCAGGTGAAATAGAGTAACCCTGCGAGACCAAATGTGTACTTGGGTTAAAGGTCAGTTACTACAAGTGTTCAGTGGCAAGAGAAATCCACCCGGCCACTTGGCCCAGTGGTCAAGAGAAATCCACTCGGCCACTTGGCCCAGTGGTCAAGAGAAATGCACTCGGCCACTTGGCCCAGTGGTCAAGAGAAATGCACTCGGCCACTTGGCCCAGTGGTCAAGAGAAATCTACTCGGCCACTTGGCCCAGTGGTCAAGAGAAATCTACTCGGCCACTTGGCCCAGTGGTCAAGAGAAATCCACTCGGCCACTTGGCCCAGTGGTCAAGAGAAATGCACTCGGCCACTTGGCCCAGTGGTCAAGAGAAATCTACTCGGCCACTTGGCCCAGTGGTCAAGAGAAATGCACTCGGCCACTTGGCCAGTGGCAAGATCTTGGCCTGGACTGACAATCGAGACAATCCGTCTACTGGCTGACGTCACAGTCCATGTCGCCCCCACTCTCTGGAGCTGGAACTAGTTGTGTGGGCGGGGAGGGGAACTTGATTTCCTCCACCAAACGAGGCAAATAAGTTGGCTCTACAAGGGGAGATAACTCAATATTTGTAATGACAAAAGCGGCTACACACACTGGAATAGGCAAAAAATGGAGTTGACGCGCTGCTGTAATGATGTGACGCGTCAAGATGGCGTGTGGAAGATGGTGCTCACTTTAAATCAAACTTGAAACTTATCATTTGTTTAAATATTTAACCATCACATTATGTTGTGAACACGCAATCAAATGAAACTTGAGTTGTCATGGAAACCTGTTTAAAGTTACACTACAATATGTAGCCTACCGTATTTCTTTTTTGTCAGATAGTAAAATGTGTACCAAATGTGTTTCAAATGAAAAGTAGTTTTGGTTAAGCATGATCTTTAATATGATGAAGATGAAGATCTCATAAAAATCATGGAAGGGTGAAAAGGGGGGGGGGGGGAATGAATGGTTTGTTACCATAATGTAACAATAAATGTTGATTTTGTTTAAACATTTAAAAGTTCAATAAATCGTCTACCGATTAAATTCTTATGAGTTAGAAAAAAAAACTTAAATAAATGTAAAAATTTTCCATGTGATTAGGTAACCAAAGTAATTTTTTTTTTCATTACGTTCATCTTCTTCGATCTTAATTCAAGTGTTGGAAAAGATTCCACACATTTATCACGGCCAAATAGCCCGTTGTCTTCAGTCTGCTTTTCTTAATGAGCGGCTGTCCCCACGCCGACATCAATAGAATCAGAATCAGATGGATATTAAAACTTGTAAGTAACAAATACTGAATTTTTTAAATCTCTCTTTCAGCTTGACGGTTTTAATAAGTGCTTTTTGTATAGAATCCTTACAAAAATATTAGAGAAACTGATGAGCTTTTAAAAAAGTTTGAGATCCATTACAATTGCTTCATAAATTACCTACAGTAATCAATACTATAGCTTCATTCAACTCACAGTAATGAAAACAATCAATAAAACTGCTTCATTCATTAGAAATTCGATATTTACATGTACGAAATAAATCAGCGAAAATAGTTTTAAAAACTGGGGGGAAAAGCTACATTTTGTGAATGTGTTGTGCAATATATTGACTGAATTATAGTCTGAATAATATTCAAAGTAAATCGAAGTTAAATAAATCAAAATTAAGCTTTTAAACTATTCCAAATATATCTAGTAGCTGATTCGATTAGTAACGTAGTTAATTGTGTTCAGAATAGTTTAAAAGGAGCGATTGGTTGTGATAGAAAAATTCATCCTGAAACTGCATTTTAGAATTATTTTTCTTTGCAAATTTCTCCATTTGATAAATAGTTCCCACATTCTAGAATATTGTAATCCAAAATGTTAAAAGATCTGAATTCAATATTATAATCCAAAACATTGAAAAATATGGATTTAATATATAATCCAAACAGTTGAAAGATCTGGATTTTTATAATAATCCAAACATTTCTTCTTCGTTCTTAATTTTAGTGTTGAGAGGGATCGAGCCTTATCAGCCAGAGGGTTTAAACTATCCAAACATTTGAAAAATCTGGATTTATTATAATAATCCATTTTTATAGATGCGTTTTTGCAAATAACTAGTCTAAAATTAGCAATAATATTGTCAGTAATCCGTAAAAATAGATGTTTTTAATTATAATTTAAATTAGTTAAACAACCTATAGTGGGCTTATACATTTTTTGTTGATATTTCTTTATTTGATCTAAGTATATATATATATATATATATATATATATATATATATATATATATATATATATATATATATATATATATATATATATATATTTATTTATTTATTTATTTATTTATACACACTGAACGTATTTTATGTTTATGTTTTGGTTGCGTCATCAACTGTAGGCGCCATCTAGTGGCTCCCTTCATTACCTAATGAAATTGTTTTTTTTGGGAATGCATTAAAGTTTATTTTTGGCATTACGTGCCGTTTGATTGAAGGATGGAACTGCGCCGCACAAAGCATCGCACTACACCACATATGGCTCCACATTACACTACATATAGCCCCACATTACACCACATATAACCCCACATTACACTACATATAGCCCCACATTACACCACATATAGCCCCACATTACACTACATATAGCCCCACATTACACCACATAGGCCTGTAGCATCACATTACACCACATATAGCCCCACATTACACCACATATAGCCCCACATTACACCACATATAGCCCACATTACACCACATATAGCCCACATTACACAACATATAGCCCACATTACACCACATATAGCCCCACATTACACCACATATAGCCCCACATTACACCACATATAGCCCCACATTACACCACATATGGCTCCACATTACACCACATATAGCCCCACATTACACCACATATAGCCCCACATTACACCACATATAGCCCCACATTACACCACATATAGCCCCACATTATAACACATATAGCCCCACATTACACCACATATAGACACACATTACACCACATATAGACCCACATTACACCATATATAGCCCCACATTACACCACACATGTCCTCAAACGAATATGAAATCTTGACCTTAGGCTTCTATAAAAAAAAAAACTATATTTCATTAAAAACGTTATATTTTTTCGAGGTTGTCGAAACCAATTCAATACCTTTACTGTTGATTTTAACTGCAGAAACATCCGCAAGATTTGGTTTCTAATTAATTTACTTGAATCATTGGATTATCAATAGCTGTGTTACTATTGTATCCAACGTTTG